GTTTGATTATTAGTTAAGTTTAATGTTACTTGGTCTGAAAAAAGTTGCCATTGTTCATTGTTCATGTTTTTGTATAAAAATGTTCTTCATCGAGTTTTGGTTGAATAACGGGGTTTGCCTGAGTATGCATAGGGAAAAGACCAATTAGAAATGAGAATTTTGTGGTCACTTTGAGTACTAGTATCAGGATCTTTAACAGTAAAGGAGTTAAGGTAACGAAGAAGAGGTTGGTTAGCCCAGATATAGTCAATGTTACTACAATATCTGCTGCTTTGCCAAGTAGGTGTAGAGGATTGTATGTGACTAGCTAGGTTATATAAATTATTATATTGAAGAAAGTGAAGTAGTTTGTATTTAATTGAAGAGGATTGGGTAAGATAATCTGATGCATTAAAGTCACCTAGAATAATGGGTTGTATATTTAAAGTAATCTATTATATTAAAATCATTGCAATCACATAATGTATAACATTTAGTTTACCCTATATATAAATAATTTTAAGTTGTCTATTATATTAAAATCATTGCAGTCACGTGATGTGTAATGTTTAGTTTACCCTATATATAAATAATTTTAAGTTGACTAGAAATTGATCTGCACCTTATATATTACGTTATATGAAATGCATAAATAATTTTTACGATGAATACTAATTGATCTGCAACTAATATATTACGTTATGAAACCTGAACAAATCCATTATATTGCAATGTTTATATCGGAAAGTCTACATTTCATACCAGTCACATGACCCTACCCTATCTAAATGTTATGGACACGTACCAATCACCCGATCTTAGTTTAGGGTACGTAAACTTTTACGTTTATATTACCTGCGCATAACGTGAAGTGACTACTAATTATGATCTTCAACTTATATATATTACCTTATTACCTTCTGAAACTTAAAAAAAAAATACCCGATTTTTCACCTTTCTTATTCATGCCATTCACTACTCGACTTTATCTCATTTCTTTATTACTATTTTAATATGATAGATTTTAATATAATAGATTTAACTTGCTACTTTAATATAATAGATTTTTTTTGCGACACGCATAAAAAAATTTAAGTTGTGTAACATGAATGCTAATTACAATCTGCAACTTAAATTATGTTATAAACCTTAAAAAAAACTTATAAATCTATACCAATACCCGATTTTTTTGTGACTTTGCTTATTTTATAATATTTTTTTGGTGTCTTTCTTTAATAGAGATTTTAATATAATAGATTTCTGTTATACATGAAACATACTAATAATACTATGGATAGGAATAATATTATAGATGAGACTTCTGATAAACGTCGAAGATGACTTAATCGTGAGCAGCAATAACGTTATCGTAAAAATAAAAAAATTATTATTACAGTAGATTCAGAATGCGAAGAATACTTTACAGTAAGAAGGAAAACTGTGCGACAACAAAATGAGATTGAAATATTAGAAGATAATAATATGAAATTCGAGAATGGAAGAGAAACTACAATGATAGAAATATAGATTCTGAAAACTCTACAGAACTTGACAATTTAGGAGCTTCTCAGGTACCTTTACGAAGTGAAGTTAGTCTTCTAACCTCTTTTTTTTTAGATTCCAATTTTAGCATTACTTCTGTAAACGAAGTAACTTTACCAACTGAACAAGAAGTGTTTACTCCTCTGGCTATTATTCCTCTAAAACAATTCAAAGCACGTATTTATCTATGGTCATCTCGAAGTTTAGACCAACACTCTTTAGGATTTATAGATTATCGATGTAATAGTTGTAGAGCACTTTCATGGCTTGACGAAAGAAAAGCACGCACTTCTCTATGATCTACAGTCTTCACAACATGTTGTGCTGAAGGAAAGGTTTCTCTTCCTCCTTTTCAGGAATTACCAAAGTCACTCAAAATGCTTCTTATTGGAACAGATTCAAGTGCACATTTATTTCGTCAAAATATTAGGATGTATAATTCAGCTTTGGCTTTTACATCTATGGGTGCAAAGCTTGATTATAGTGTAACAGGAACAAGTGGAATTTATAATTTTCACATTCATGGTGAAATGTATCATTCAATAGGCTCCTTACTTCCTAATCATGAAAGTCCTCATTTTGCTCAGATATATATATGTGATACTGAGCATGAACTACGAAATTGAATAAATGTAATGCCCAATCTTGACTCTGTTCTTCTTGAAGAGCTTCAGCAAATATTACACTTCATGAACCCATATAGTAAAATGTTCAAACAAGCTGGAGCTATGCTAAGCTTAAATCCGTCCTTAAACTTACGAATATTGATCACAGATAGTAGAAAAAAAGATTCTAGACATTACAATACTCCAACTGCATCTGAGGTTGCAGTTATTATGATTAGAGATAGTCAAGAACATGAACCCTTAAGCCATGATATTGTATTACAATTACATGAAGGAGGACTTCAGCGAATATCAGAAATACACCACGCTTATGAACCATTGCATTATGTTCTTATATTTCCCAGAGGTGAGGATAGGTGGCATCCTTATATTCCTATAACTAACTCTTTTTCTACATCTTCTATACAAGATATTGTAGATGACGACTTTATCACTATTGCTGATAATGATGATAATGAGGTAAGTACCACTAGAAAACATGTTAGCGCAATAAATTATTTTGTGTACAGACTTCAATTAGGTCGGCCAGGTGAAGCTATTGTTCTACATCACTTCGGAAGACTTTTTCAACAGTAGATTGTTGATATGTATGCGATCGTAGAACAAATGTGTCTTAATTATTTAAGACTTAATCAAAAACAAATATGCACTGAATTATATGATGGATTACAAGATGCAGTGTATACACAAGATAGTATACTTGAATCATCAAATATAGGACAATAGATAATTTTACCTTCAAGCTTTACAGAAGGACCTCGCCAAATACATAACTTTACCAAGATGGAATGGCTATCGTGCGAGAGTTTGGCAAACCAGATCTTTTTATTACAATGACTTGCAATCCACAATGGCCTGAAATTACTAACACTCTTCTTCCAAGTCAAACATCACAAGACAGATCTGATTTAATTTCCCATATCTTTAATATGAAATTAAAGGCAATGCTTAGAGATATTTTAAAAGAAGATGTTTTTGGAAAAGTAATAGCTTACCTTTATACTATAGAATTCCAAAAGTGTGGATTGCCTCATACACACATTCTTTTAATTCTTGCTCTGGAGCACAAACCCAGGACGATCGATAACTATAATGCTATTGTATCTGCTGAAATTCCAAATCACGATAGTGATCCATATACTTTTAATACTATCAAACAATCGATGATGCATGGTCCTTGTGGTTTATTTATGCCAAATGCTCCATGTATGAAAAATGACAAATGTTCTAAGAGATACCCAAAACATTTTCAGGAAAGTACAACTATCAATAATGATGGATATCCTATTTACAAGAGAAGATCTAATGATAGCACTGTAGATGTGTATGGAGCAACATTAGATAACAGGTGGGTTGTTCCATATAATCCATATCTTTCTACTAAATATAATTGTCATATAAATGTAAAGATTTGTTCGTCAGTAACTGCGGTCAAGTATCTTTTTAAATATGTTTATAAAGGACATAATCGTGCTATTGTAGAGATAAGACAAAATTAAGAGCAACATCGATCGAAAAGTAATGATGAAATAAGTTTTTACCTTAATGCTTGATATGTTTCAGCATCTGAAGCTTCATGACACTTATTTCACTATCAGTTGTATGATAGAAGTCTAGCTGTTATACACCTCCAAGTTCACCTTCCTGGACAGCATAGAATATTATTTCAGAATGATAAAAGTTTAAAAATTATATTTGACTGTGCTGAATCAGAATCAACAACACTTACAGCATGGTTTCAAGCTAATGCATTGTATCCTGAAGCAAGAAATCTGACATATGGAACTTTTCCTACTCAGTGGGTTTATAATAAGTGATCCAATAAATGGACCCCTAGAAAATGTGAAAATACAATTGGCTGCATTTATTTCATTCATCCAACAGCAGGTGAGCGATATTATTTAAGGATCTTGCTCAATGTAGTTTGTAGTGCTACATCTTTCGAAAATCTCTACACTGTCAATAGAGTTTTATATGATACTTTTAAGGAAGCCTGTGCTGTCTTAGGCTTGCTACAAGATGATGACGAATGGGATCAATGTTTAGCAGAGGCTGCTCAAGTACAGTCTGGAGCACAACTACGTAATTTGTTTGCTACACTTCTTTTGTTTTGTGCTCCAATAAGCTCTGAAAAACTTTGGGAGAAGTATTTTTTTGCTCTTAGTGATGATCTACAATTTCAAACTACTAATACTTTTGAAAATACTAACCTTCACAACAGAGCCTTAACCCATTTAGATTCAATTTTATGTAGACACGGAAAATGTCTTAAAGATTTTCCTGAAATGCCCATTCCCGAGATCTTTTCTGATTCTGATTCTGACTATGATAATCAACTAATTACAGAAGAACGAAGCTATAAAATTGAAGAACTTACTCAAATATTTGAAGATGGAATTCTTCAATTAAATATAGATCAAAAATATGCGTTTAATAAAATAATATCTGCAGTAGAAAGTAGAACTCCTGCTCTATTTTTCATTGATGGTCTAGGTGGAACAGGAAAAACCTTTTTATATAAGTATGTCGTTATATTCTTTTTTTTTTTTTTTACTTTTCTGCCTATTCTTTAGCTATATATTTTATTTTCTATATGTTTAGTATTTTACTTGCAAAAGTTTGTCTAGATAGACATATTACTCTAGTCATCACTTCTTCTGGAATTGTGGCACTTCTTTTATCAGGTGGCCAAACTGCCCATTCCCGATTTAAAATACCTATCAATTTAAATGAAGATTCTATCTGTTCCATCTCTCATGGCTCAGCATTAGCCTTACTACTGCAAAAAACAAGTCTGATTGTATGGGATGAAGCTCCAATGATAAATAAATATGCATTTGAAGCTGTAGACTGCACTTTAAAAGACCTTATAAAAGCTATCGATCCTGCCTTGGAAAGAAAACCATTTAGAGGTAAGGTTGTAGAGTTCAGAGGTGATTTTCGACAAATCCTTCCTGTAGTTGTAAAAGGTAATCGAGAAGAAATTGTAGGATCATGTTTACGTCGATCATCTTTGTGGAATCACATTGAAGTTATGAAACTGACAATTAACATGCGTCTTCATCATACTACTAATCTTTCTGATATTATTGAGCAAAATGAATTTGCAACGTGGCTTCTTAAAGTCAGTGAAGGTTATATTCCTATCGTTAAATCTAAAAACAATGTTATTCAGCTTTCCAATGATATTGTTTTATCATCTGAAGAGTTAAACAACTTAATCAAATTTGTGTATTCTCATTTTTCACAATATACTAATTTACAATATTTAGTTAGTCATGCCTTACTTGCCCCTAAGAATGATCAGGTTAATGCGATTAATCATCTAATTATAACTTATTATCCAGGTGAATCTGTTATATATCTTAGTGCAAATACGATCGATGAACAAACAGAAGCTGCGCATTTTTATCCTATTGAATTTCTAAACTCTCTAACTATTGGTGGCTTTCCACCTCATAAGCTTATACTAAAACTTGGAGCTCCTATCATTTTATTACACAATATTTCTTCTGCTGACAGTCTTTGTAATGGGACCAGATTACTTTGCCGATTTTTTAATCGACATGTTATTGAAGCTGAAATTATTACTGAAAAGCATTCTGGAAATCGTGTTTTTATTCCTTGAATGACAATGGTACCTTCAAATGCGGATCTACCCTTTATATTCAACCATCGTCAATTCCCCGTTCAGCCTGCTTTTGCAATGACCATCAATAAGTCTCAAGGCTAAACATTAGATTTTGTTGGTTTATATCTCCCAATGCCAGTTTTCTCTCATAGACAACTATATGTTGCCTGTTTAAGAGTAACATCACGAAAAAACTTAAAAATTCTTACTTCTAATCATGATAGATAAAATCTAAATGGTGCTAAAGTTACATCTAACATTGTTTACCCTGAAGTATTACAATAGAATCATTTATTAGGTGCGTATATAATTATATTTTTTTATTACTTTCTCTCATTTTCTAACTTATATAGTAAATACAAATTTTATAAGTCGTAAATAAAATATTCCAAATTTTTTATCCTCGAATTTTATGAACATATCTATATCTTACAATTGAAATCTATTTTTAAAAATGATACCAACTTTTCTATAATTAATTTATTTTTACTTTACTATTATTATATATTATATATATTTATTACATATGTAATGCATTTTTTAAAAATAAAATGTTAAAAAATACATTTTTACTTCTCACTTAAAATTATAAAATGTATTCTGTTCAACTGTTCATTATAAAAAATTCAACGTCTTGAATAACATTATTCTATTGTCGCTTTATATCTACTTGATTATGTTCATCCAATTAATGCCTTTAACGATACCACCTGCTTTACTTTCAATATTTTATTTTTGCCTAATTTGTAATACATATTAACATACTATAATGTATTTAAATCAACAATTTAATTATAAAATAGCTTTAATCCATCGCTTCGTTGATAGTTTTAAATTATACTATGTATAAACCATTACATCACTAAAGTTGTAATAAATTTATTCGTTATTCAATATTTTAAAAAAAAAATATAAATGAATGTATATAGCTGTAAAATCAAAGATGCTATAACAAACCATAGTAAAAATAAGTTTCTTAGACACAAAACAGTGACTCAATATAAATAAAAAGGCCACAATGCTAAATAGTTAGTAATTTTCATTTTTTTTCATCGAATTTTTTATCTGGATGAAAAAATGATAATCACTGATCGTCAAAAACTTAATTGAACGAATTTGTCGATCATTTCTAGATATGCTAAATGTTTCTTGCAAGGCCCTAGAATTTTGGGTCAGATTCATTGGAACTGAGTAATGCTAACTAACAAACTATATAGCAGTCAGACATTACTTCAATAATAGGTTTTTAGGCTCGCTCACTAAAATTCAAACTAATATTCTGATTGCAAGTACTATTGACTTCTTTTATAAAGAGTCATACCAGAAATGGATTATATAGATTTTTCTTGTTCCTGTTTTGCGCAACTGCATTACGCTGCTACTTATCCTGAATATAAAAAATGGTTACACGAATGTGTTGGGCATGTACATGAATGCATCTATTTGCGCATCAACACATGATTGCCAATTTTTTTACAAGTTTACCCTTATTAATGTTAGAATAAATAGTTTTTACATATAAGTAAAATTTGCCTTTCTGACACTTTTAATTAATGCTCTATAATTGTTTTAAACAGTCGTTTCCTATATTTTTTGTGGTTTTCACTTTTTTTACTTTGTTTTGCTTCATTGGGCTGATCAAACTTCCACTATTTAATTTGTCACTCATCATGTGTTAATGCGCAAATAGATGCATTCCATATTACATATTGTACCTACATTAATCTATTACATCCTAAACTTATAACAAAACAAAAGAAAAATGAAAATCATTATTTATTATTTATATATTCTAACTTTCTTTAATAAAAATTCTGCATAATGTATGTAAAAAAGATTTTATAATCTAGACTTTACACTTCTAAAATCATTATTTTAAGCTTTTTTGTCCTTTTTTTTTGTACTACAAACAAGATTTGTTCAACATTGATTACTTATAATTTTTACAGATAAAATATAACATGAAAAATAATAAATTCAGAAAGATTCAACTAATATTATAAATAGTATAATAATACTATAACTACTAAATAACTATGAGACAATATAATAATATATATATGTTACATGTACTTTATAATTAATCTGTTAGCAAAGCGACAGGTTACATCTAGTAGCTTATTAAATTTATTGAATAATAGTATTCTGTACTAATAGTCTAAGTTGAGGATTATTACATGATAAATAAATTGAAATAATTCTAAACTTAAAGTTGAGTTTGAAGAAAAGGTCTACTATGATAGCATATTCAGAAAAGAGTAGGATTTTGTGAATGTGGCATTTGATGGACTTATAAATCATAATAGTTATGCCAGCTTTTGGATTATCAGTACAGAACCAAAGATAAGTAAAGTGTTTGGATTTTTGTAATTTGGTTATGGGGTTATTTGCAGCAATTTTGGTTTCTGTAATACTAATGATTTTGAGGTTGTTAGAAAGACAGAAGTCTTTTCAGATTTGTTGTTTTAAATCTTCATTGTAGCCTCGTACATTATGTGTACAGATTAGTAAGTCTAGTGGTTTGGAGTTTGT